TTCAGATTAGCAGTGTGGAATGTTGGCTATCTATCTATTCATCCCTGCCATGAGTCCTGAGGGATTGCTGGGCTCAGTAAAGGACCAGAAACCCGAAATGCAGACAAAGGAGGAAGATGACAGCAAGGAACAGGATGATGATGGGGAGGGGACTGATATTAGGAAACTGAGGCTGTAGGTGTTCACTTCCCCCATTCAGGAGATGGCTCCCCTTTTTCTTGCTAGGGAAAGGAAGTCTCTTCACCAGTCAGCCAAACCTCAGTTTTCCGGCGTCATGGCTAGCAGCGTCATCTGTGCTGGGGACAGCCCCAGGCAATCTGCTGCCAGGGTGGGTTGTGGCCACAGGCCATTTAATCTCAGTGTAGCCGGCGAGCTCCCTCTTCCTTGCCTCTTTGTCGGAGACCCCTACCCACCCACCCTTTTCTCATGCTTTGTTCTGATACGACCTTGCTATGGCAGTTGTTGGTCGCCATGTTGTTGGGGCCAGGTAGGAATTTTTTCCCCTTGGCAAATTGGCACCGGCCATTTGGTTTTTGCCTACCTAGTAGCAATCATCACAACTTTTGTGAGATTAGGCATTGGGTAAGCCTTCATTTGGTTGGAGGGGAGGTTGTTGTCTTCGCCTGCCCCTCCTCAATAAGGGTTTCCTGTTAAAGGGATCCGGGGTGTGAATACTGTCTGAAGCCTGGGCATGGGCTAGGGCCATGTCACAGACCCTTGGGGTGATGCCACTATCTGATGTAAGTTATAGGGTACCCCCTATCTGTAGTTTACCCTTCCATGGACTCGCTGCAGGCAGGCAAGGGTCAAGACTGGCTTCACCCCAGTGCCTAAGCCAAACCACTCCCATCTGTAACCAATAAAGCTGTGGCCTATTTGAACCTATAAACCAAAATAAATCAGTGTGATTTATTGTTCTCCTGGGAACTTTGTGGCTCGGGTGCCAAGGCATGCAACACAACAATGGAATTTGGAGAGGGAACCAGCTCATTGCTGGTACTGGGGGACGTGCACAGCCTGGTCACCAGCAGCACTCCCCAATGCTATGACCATTTGTACACTCACCATCTGTTCTCTGCCTCAGTAAAGATCTCAAGAAAGAACATCTATCATTGTGGTCTGGGCAGAAACCAGGACAAACCTGCCCTGATTCCCCCTCTCCTCGTTGCTCTTTCCCTCTGCTCTATTATCCAAAGGCTAGCAGAAGTTTGGGCAATGAGTGACAGAGAATACACTCTGGGCTGGATCCAGATTAAGTTAAGGTACATTTTATGTCCCACTGAAATCAATGTGAAAAGTTAGTCAGGCCTCAAGTCTACATTGTGTTCCGATGGTTTAAATTATTATCCGTGTCTAAGCCTGATCAGCCAAGAGGCAGCACACACCCAGCTATTGCCAGATGTCTCCTTTCGCTGCCAAAGAATTACTGGGCTCAGGAAAATATTAAAAGCTGAAGTTAAACTGACAGGTTTTAGCATGATGAATGAATTATCTTCTCTGATAAATTCCTTGGATTACTTTGCTGGCAAATTATGATGGAGCGCTACTGCAGACTCTAGCAAGGATGGCTAGGAGTAAATGGACTCTTATAAGGAGCCAGCCACTGTTGCTCCCTGCAAATTTACATTAATATCAGCCCTATTCTGTCATTCTCCACATATAAGAGCAGGGGAGCAGGACAGCACCGCTAGTACAAACCTTGCATCCTGCATAGCACTGGATTGGCAGAGATGTCTGCGTAGTAAAAAACCTATATGTGAGCAGCTACCCACATATGTTTATTGATTGACTGAAATGTTTATAGACTGTGCTTCATAAAAGTATATCTAGGTGGTATATACAACATACAAAAATCATAATAAAATTAAGAAAGCATCAATAAAAATATACTTTAAATAATTAATGTCAATACTAGCTAGTTTTTTTAAAAAGCAAACAATGCAGTTTTCAGAATACATCTGAATGAATGTCGGGCAGTTCCTGCCAAAATGCTACTAGCATGGAGTTCCACAGGGCAGAGATTGCCCCAATAATGGCTCAGTCCCTACTAACATCCAACAGACAGGGATGTGACCCACAAGAGGATCTCTGTGATCAAGGTAGAGCCAAATCAGGCCATCCTAACTTCCATGTGACTGGAACCGCTGTGTGTTCTATTATCGTTTCAAAAACACAAAATATAATCTGAAGCAACTCATTGACTAATATAATTGTCTCTCTTCCTCTATATCACTCCATAAAGGACATTTTATTTATTTATTGTTATTTTGTTTTGAAAAATATTGGGTACGGTTCAGCCATACTCGATAGCACACTCCTGTATGCGCCTACTCAGAAGTAAGCTTCACTAAATTCGCAAGCGGGGTCTGGATTGAGAAATATGAGGCCATTGCTTATTTCCATGACCTTACCTGAAAGTAGCAGCTCCATGTTGCTGTTGGTGAGTGTCGCGTTCACTCTTCCTGACGTTGCATTGAAATTTGTAACTGTCAAGGTCATGGGTTGCTTTTTGCCTTTGTAATTGTAGGAGCCTTTCCATATATAATTCTGGGCAAACACATCATCAGGAACTGTAGCGGGGAAAACATCCAAAATGTTAATGAACATAGCCATATTTGGATTGCAATAGCTCAGGTTAAAATGAGAATAGATGCTCATTCTCTCCTCTTCAATTATTTTTTGTTATTGGAAATTATATTTATGATCGTCACGGAACCTAGCCCATATATACATAATGCACAGCAATGGTGCTTGAGAAAGCATCTGTGAGCTAGCCTTAACTGCACCTGTCCTAATGGAAAAATAATAATGTTACGTGCATATTGAAATGATGCAGTCAAAAGACAAGATTTTAACCAACTTTTTATGCCTGCATGTAGACAAATAATATAGAGAGGATGAAATCCAGCTGGTGCCATTCTACTAACAGAATCTATTCATCAGAAATCATTCCTCTCCCCAGCAGTGCCCCCACCCAAAATTTGCTCTAGGTAGTTCCCAGACATATTCCATTTCTTTAACAGTGTGAAATCCCATTACCAAATGTAGCTGCAGAGACACCCCTGTCCTTGTAGGGTGCAAAAGTTGTGACATGTGCATGCTCAGGTCATATATGGGGCTTCACATAAACCATAAAGACGAAAAGAGAGCATTGTTTCTCAATTAATTATTCACAAATCAAAGAATTATTAACATGTAGGAAGAAATTAAAGGAGAACTTTTAGAAGCCAAAATACGATTCCATGGGATTCCATATGTCCAACATCCACAGAGAGCTATTCTGAGCATTTATGTCTCACCTGAAAGGACATACTAAATACCACATAGATCACTGATCAGTAGCCACATTGACTGCTTAACTGATTTTCCTTTGCATGTATTACAAAAGGAACAAGAATGAGTATACTTTTGATGCTATACCTTTAAATAACATATATGTTTTTGGAAGATTGAGTGAGTATTAAACTCATGGTAGGGTTGCTAAACATGTCAATTTCAGTTTCTCATTTTTCCAGTCTAACCAGTGATTCATTTTTTAAAGTCCTCATGAAAAACTTGTCATGATTTCAGTGCAGATTTTGTTGGGAATCTGTGGTAAGAAACCCATGCAGGGGAAGTTGCCCCCAGTTCCAGTCGCCACACAGAGGCAGCTTAAGGTCCAAATAGTTTACTGTTGCAGAAGATAAAGGCTTCAGTAATACAGTTTTGTATGTTGATATATACTCACAGCTGTAAGCTATGCACATACAGATATATGAAGTACGAAGTATTTCTGTTGCCCCAGCAATTGAAGATGTAACACAGACCACGACTCACTTCTCAAGACTCTAATGAGCTGACATGTCTTAATCACTTATATAAATGGCACTGGGATGTTGCCATAGCAACGGTCCTGGCTGACTTTGCACCTGTTGGTTTATCCCAAGACCAGGGGGTTATTTGTGCAAATGAAGAAAACCGACCCCTTCCTCCATGTCCAGTTTCTCCCACAAATTTCTCCTAGGTTTTACAAGCAATTTCCCCATATACAATGTTATTTTCACTAATATATGCATTGTTACACATATGTTCCTGTAATGTACACATTTTTGTGCACCCTTTTGTGGGTTGGAGAACAGCATTGCAAAATTTGGAGAAGGGCCAGTTTTGAAGGGTTAGCTGTGTTTCAGTTCATGCATAGCTTAGGAAGTCTGAATAAGGTAGGTCTGCATTAAAATGTGGACTGAAGCAATCCCTAGCTCATGGAGCTTATTTCATAATCTCATAAAGATGTTGGCTATTTGCAGTATGGTAGCGCTGCAGAGAGCTTGCTGGGGAGACCATGCATTAAAAAGGGACTCAAAAATAACTTAAACAAGGTTTTAATTACAAAAACAAAAACTCCTTATACACTAAATACATCAACAACAAACCAGACCCAACCACCAACCCATCCCCCAGGGTAATGGGAGAGCTAGGTGCTGCTCCTTATATACTACACCCAATTACCAACACAGCTTAATCAATACAACTCAGCAGCACCTGCTATGTTTCACAGCTGTAAAGCTGGGTCTCGTTATCTTGCTCTGGCCCCTTAAAGACATACACATCGGGTGGAACAATGATGAACCTTTACATTTAAAGAAACAATTCAACAATAGCATCCTGATCTCAGTGCTAGCTCACCACTTAGAATCATAGAGTTGGAAGGGACACTGAGGATCATGTAGTCCAGGTGTCAGCAAACCTTTTCAGCAGGAGGCCGGTCCACTGTCCTTCAGACCTTGTGGGGGGCCGGACTATATTTTGAAGGGGGGAAAATGAACAAATTCCTATGCCCCACAAATAACCCAGGGATGCATTTTAAATAAAAGGACACATTCTACTCATGTAAAAACATGCTAATTCCCGGACCATCCGTGGGCCAGATTTAGAAGGTGATTGGGCCAGATCCAGCCCCCGGGCCTTAGTTTGCCTACCCATGATGTAGTCCAACTCCCTACAATGCAGAAATATGCAGGTGTCCCATACGGAGATCGAACCTGCAACCTTTGTTTTAACAGCAACGTGCTCTAACCAACTGAGCTTATGATCCTGTATTTTAAAACTTAAAAGCTAGTTGTTGTTTTTTAAATCAGGTGCCGCCCAACCTGTTCCTGCTTTCCTTGAAGCAAGTCTTGCCGAATTCAACTTTTACACAAGTTATGCTGCGATCCTATACTTACTCACTTATTCATTGGATTTATACTTCACCTTCCTGCCAAGGCATACAATGTGGTTTACAATTTAAACACTACAACAAATACATTATACAAACGAAAACAGACAGAGTCTTCTCATGCCAACTGGGAGCGGATGGTATATGTGCTACCTGGCAGAAGCTCAGGACATACAGGTTTTCAGCAGCCCCCAAGGCTGCTTGAATAGAAATCAGCCATAGCTCTGTCTCCCAGCTCCCTAGCCTTCAGCCTGCCAGCTTCCAGCTTCCAGCTTCACATCACTGAGCTCCCAACTCTGCCTTTGTCTTTCTAATTACCAGTGAGTTCAAGGAGGGGGGCGGCAGCATCCATTTTCTGTCTGGCACAGAGCCACTTCCTTTGTTACTTTAATGGCCCATACTTAGAGGACCATTACCTCACCAGGAAGCTAGCTTGGCCATTCCAGGAACTGAATCCGTGCTGCATCCAGGAATTAGAAGGGGCTCAAGCATGCATACATCCTAGCACCACCACCACCACCCCAACTCATAACAATATGTATGCTTTCTGGCCTAGGCTCCCTTGCTTCAACCTACTTCAATGCAACTTATTCCAGGCATTCGAGGTGTCCATAGGTTTTCAACTTTGCTGTATTTAAAGTACGTGAATTATTTAGGACCACTTAGAACAGAGTTAAAACTTCATAATGGTTTTTAACTTACTCTTTGGGGTATACCACACACAAATGTTCCTTAAGTAAGGCTTTTTAAAGTGCATTCTAGCCATTTCTTAAAGCTTACCAAGGCATCCTTTTGGAATAAATGAATGTTGATTATTATAGATGGAGGTGCAGAATGTTGAGCTAAGCTCTAATGCAAAGCAGAATCAATGGATTCACTCATTTCACTAAGGTAGGATTTTAAATTTCAACAGGAGAATATAATCTCACACTTGGATTTGAAGATGGGGAATCTCAGGACTGTGAAGCATTAAAAATTGTTGGGGTCACACCAATAACTATGCAGAATAAGAAAAAGAAAAATCTAAAGCGATCCAGTAAAACAATGTTACATATTTTATATTCCACTGCAATGAGGCTACTTCACTACATTTTTAAGTATGTATGGCCAAATTTAGTTGATTTGGGCTTTCAAAATTTGTAATGAAATCCAGGGTGCCTTCCTCTGAGGAACGACCCCTTAACCTCTGACAAAGGTCAAGGGGTCCTTCCTCAGAGGGAGGTGTTCTGTGGGAAGGGACCAGGGCTCTTTGGAATGGCAGAAAGGTAAGGTAGATTAAAAATATATATGCCTAAGTAAATCATAAGTGGAAATAAAGAAGCGTTTGTACAACACAACCAAACCACCGTAGTACACCAGATGTTGCCAGAAAATCACCCTGCAAATTTAGCTGCCTCCTCTTCAGCGAACTCTGAGCTTTCCCTCCAGCTCACTCAAGTACAGTCATTTTCACATGCACATACACATACACAAACAAATGCCCCCTCAGCTGGAAAATTGTCACTTTCTTCAACATCTTGTGGCTCTTAAAAGCTATCAGAAATCCTGAATTCCTGCATTGCAGCAGGCTGGATGATGATGATGGTAATGATGATGATTTCAAGTTACATACCACCCTTTATCCAAAAATCTCAGGACAGTGTACAACATTAGAAACATAATTTACATAGCACAATAATAATAAAAAACTCACAGGGGAAAAAATAATAATAGTCCCAAAAGAGGAGAACAGTTGTACCTCGGAAGTCGAACAGAATCTGTTCCGGAAGTCCGTTCAACTTCCAAAACGTTCAGAAACTAAAGTTCAGCTTCCGACTGGCTGCAGGAAGCTCCTGCAGCCAATCAGAAGCCACGGAAGCCCCGTCGGACGTTCGGCTTTCAAAAATAGTTTGCAAACCGAAACACTCCCGGGTTTGCGGCATTCGGGAGCCCAAAACGTTTGAGAACTAAGCTGTTTGAAAACAAAGGTACTTTCACCTGGTGCCTAAAGGCACATAATGAAAGCACCAGGCGAGCTTCTCTGGGAGGAGCATTCCAGAAAGGGGGAGGAGCCATCGCAGACTAGATAACCCTTGAGGGTCCCTTCCAAGTCTACAATCCTATGATTCTGTGAATCAATTTCCTATCCATCACTTTTTCAGCAGCTGATCATTCTCAGTGATTCATCTTTCTAAGATATATCCAGGAGGTGTTACAGGTTAACAGCACATTTTGCCCTCCCTACACCATCCCATCCCATTTGCTCTATTTGCCACCCTCACACTTATGATTTATTTATGGTAGCAACACTGATGAAAGAACACTGTATCACAACTGGTGGCAATAAGCATTGCACTCCATATACGCAGACAAGATAAATAAATGCACAGGTTTGTGTGTGAAGCCATACAACTGTTAGCAATGTCTAGCTCCCACCTGTCTCATCATTGTTTTGAGGGTCTGTCTTCCTTGATTTCTTCAATTGCTGTCTAATGTTTCTGGTTGTCAATACTTGGACCAAAAACGCTAGCTAAATGACAGGTTATTGCATTATATGTTATATGTACATAATTCATCAAGCTGAGCAGTAGTGACCCTGCCAACTGCACACTCAAAATGTATAATTAACCCTTCTCAGTTTTGTAAAGACAATGTTAACTACTTTTAGTTTCCTCTGATTTCTATAAGTGACTTGAGTTCATGCTTATGTGGGATTTAAAGATGCTTGCTGTTGGCTAGGTCATATACACAAATGAAGATTTTGTGTGCATGCATGTGTGAGAGAGAGACAGAATGAGATACAGATGCAATATTCATTGTGTAGACACATCTTATAATGTAATTGAGTCTAGGGTAACAATGAATGGTTACATATTTTGATGTAAAATTGATGGTCCAACCTCACTACCTCTGATAGTACCTGGGGGCATGTTGCAGGCACTGTCCCCTGCCCTGATCTGCTGCTCTTTGGGCACCAATTTCCCCTTGTTAAGGCTTATTTGTCCTTCATTATGTGATTTGCATGAAAGGCATGTATTACTTGGATTCACCTTTCTGGATCAGGCAATGTGAGAAGCAACCCTCAGACTTTGATCTCTGTAACAGCAGTGGGGAAAGACAGCTCAACTTTCCTTGTGGCTTGGCTCAGCCCACTGCTAGGCTACTTATAGCCCTGCAATATACCACTCCTAAATGCTCAGTCACCCGAATGCAATCCTTGTCATAGGGTGTGCTGGGAATGCAACCAGGGATCATGCCAGAGGACAGTGCAGAGACACACGAGTGTGAGCACTGCCTCAGGACTCATCCTCGCACCTCATGCAACAAGACATTCAAGGCTCCCAGAGCTCCCCATGTAAGGATGCCAATACCTCCATCCCTACAAATAATTCATTGTGTTCCTCAACTCCTATAGGTTAGGGGCTCTATAATGTCTCCACCAACTATACTCAAGCCAATTAGCCTCCCACTATCTCTGGGTAGGTTTTGCCGTTGGATTCAGGAATCTCCTTTCAAGTAAACCCAGTTCTCAGGAGGCCTCTAATCAAAAGTCAGTATGTTTGTCCTGTGTTTTACTGCCTCTCTCATATCTAGGCCCCTGCCACCGGTGGACTCACTGCTCCTGGGCCCATGGCTCCTGGGCCCTTCTGGCACATGGGCCTAATTAGGCCTGTTGCATCTTCACATTTGGCCTGCAATACCATTTTGGTCAAACCCATGGCGACCTGCTCTTCATCTGGCATCATACATGACATCAGGTGTTGGGCAGGTAAGGACACAACTGGGCTGGAAAGGGGGTTGCAGAAACTGTCATGCACTGATTTCTTCTTCTAATGTTCCCTTTTACTGAAAGCTTTGTAGCAGTAGTTCAATAAAGCTTCAAAAATTGTCTTTATAATCCATGTGCTATATACATTTTCCTTATGTTTTTTTTTACTATATCAAGAAAGCATACATCATGTCCTAGAAATTTGCAAAAATGCACATATGGAAAAACCCTGGAATAGAGGAGTGGATTTTATTCCTTAACTTAATTGCCTTCAACACTACTAAAGTTTGCAAACATGTATTGCAGGATCACATTTGACAACAGTGGATAATGAGGCTGTTTTCCCAAAAGGAAGAAACAAGGAGACTTTTTATCTGAATTTAGGTTTAATGCAGTAACATTTGAATGGATTGAAGCGGGGGAGGGGGGTGGGAGGAGACAGTAAGCCTGATTCTTCCAAAATACTGTCTTCCCTCTCCTTAATATACAGACTGCGGCAGTGCAATATTGATACATACTGTGGACAAATTCAGCTGTTGATTTATCAATGGAATAGTTTGAAAGTAGTACGAGTTCTGCTATCAACAGAACTTATGTATATCAGTTCTGAAGAGCACTGTTGTTTTGAGGCAGCTGAGAAATGACTTTGCAACCCAGGCAGCACCACATCTTGGAAAAGATAGATGAATGGTAGCTGAACACATCCTATTAAACTGGGAGGCTGCCATTTATGTGAAGAGCAAAAACAGAATTATTCCGACACTGCATCATTCCTTTTTGACAAAATATCTCATGTTTTTGTCTCGTGCTTATTCGGCAATGAAATATCAACAGCAAGCTAGCATCCTCATAGGCTGCAATGCTAATATGTTGTGCAAATCTTTTCTGTTCTGTTTCTGAACTGCCTAGTCAGTAAGGATTTTTATAAATAAATAAATGAATGAATAAAGTAAGTTACTCACCATTTAATTTAGGACTTGGTGTCCCCAAAGCTGGCCTAGGGTCTTTCACCAATATTTTTGAACCAGCTGTTGATATAAGTAATACAAAATAAGTTATTATTACATCTATGCTGGTTGTGATACATTAAATGTAGAAATAGACACAAATATATCAAAGATGAAATAC